CGAGAACAAGAACTTGCAGCGTAAGTCTTGGGTCCTCTGCTCCTCACACAGCTTTTTTTCAGACGTCTCTATCCACCACTCCACATGGGTCTCTGCCTGTAGCACCGTGAGAATGTCTGTCCCCTTTGGTGTAGCAGGGTGTCAGTGCCTGCCCCCACAGTCAGTGCCTGACCAGGCCATTTATCTCTGTCCCTACAGAGGAGATTTCTGACCTCACGGAGCAGATTGCAGAGGGTGGAAAGGCCATTCATGAGCTGGAAAAAGCAAAGAAGCAGGCTGAACAGGAGAAATCTGAACTCCAAGCATCTCTGGAGGAAGCTGAGGTACATCCATCCATTCTTGCTTTTTTACTTTACAGAAACCTTAGAGATCATTTATGAAATTATGTGACTGGGGGGATTGTGTTATTTTTTGTTTTGTTTCATTTTGTTTTTTTGTTTTACAGGCCTCCCTAGAACATGAGGAAGGAAAGATTCTGCGCCTGCAACTTGAGCTCAACCAGATCAAGTCTGAGATTGACCGGAAGATAGCAGAAAAGGATGAGGAAATTGAACAGCTGAAGAGAAACCATCTCCGAGTTGTGGAGTCCATGCAGAGCACGCTGGATGCAGAAATCAGGAGCAGAAATGAAGCCCTGAGGCTGAAGAAGAAGATGGAGGGAGACCTCAATGAAATGGAGATTCAGCTGAGCCATGCCAACCGCCAGGCAGCAGATGCACAGAAGAATCTAAGAAATGCACAGGGAGTGCTCAAGGTCCATTAAAAAATGATACAGGCAGAACAATACACATCTTTGCATTTTCAAGGTTCAGGATTGCTGTGCGTCCTTTTAATCTGTCTCACCTCTCTTACAGGATACCCAAATACACTTGGATGATGCTCTCAGGTCACAGGAGGACCTGAAGGAGCAGGTGGCCATGGTGGAGCGCAGAGCAAACCTGTTGCAGGCTGAAGTTGAGGAGCTTCGGGCAGCACTGGAGCAGACGGAGCGGTCAAGGAAAGTGGCTGAGCAGGAGCTGCTGGATGCAAGTGAGCGTGTGCAGCTCCTTCACACCCAGGTCAGTGTGTGTATATATATATATATATACATATAATATTTTTATTTCTGTTCTGTAGATAGAAAACAACTGAAGTTTGGATGCACTGTAAAAGCATTTATTAAAAAGGCTTGAAAAATGGACAGCATAGATTAGAAATATTAACAGTAAGGTTTCAGCTGGAAATATAACATGGATCTAATTAGATTACAGTAGAGATAGTAAAACATCTAAAAATTCAGAGAATTTGAAGTTTGTAGTCTATGTGTTGTGCGAGAAAAAACACCTTTCCTACATTTGTACCTTTGTACATTTGATCCTTTAGCAAAGTCATTATAATTATTCCATGGTACCATTTAAATTATTTACTGCCATTAGATTGAAAATGATAAGTCTTCATGAATCTAAACTCCTGTTTTCTCATAAACTATTGGAAAAGTTATGGAGGATGTTCTTGAAATACTAAGCTGCATTGCAGATGTGATAGTAATGGCCTGCAGTGGCAGTTCCTATAGAAGAGAATACCCTGTGATCTGATGGAATTCTTACATTAAAAAACAGAATCATAGAATCATAAATCATTAAGGTTGGAAGGGACGTTTAGAGATCATCTAGTCATCATCTAGATACTAGACTTGGTATTATGAGCTAACAAATGCAAATATGTGACGCTGTTTTCACAGAATACCAGTTTGATCAACACCAAGAAGAAGCTGGAAACAGACATTTCCCACATTCAGAGTGAAATGGAGGAGACAATCCAGGAAGCCCGCAATGCTGAAGAGAAGGCCAAGAAGGCCATCACAGATGTGAGTTGGGGCTCCTTGCTGGCTGGTGGTGGATGGACTCTGACCCAACATGCCTCTCATCCCAAACTGACTCTATTCCTTTGCTCTGCAGGCAGCCATGATGGCAGAAGAACTGAAGAAGGAGCAGGACACAAGTGCCCACCTGGAGAGAATGAAGAAGAACTTGGACCAGACAGTGAAGGATCTGCAGCACCGTCTGGATGAGGCTGAGCAGCTGGCACTGAAAGGAGGCAAGAAGCAAATCCAGAAGCTGGAGGCCAGGGTAAGTATGGGCTGGTATTTGTCCATGAGAGAACATGTCCCATGAGGCAGCACAAGTGAAGCTGCATGGATTGTTTTCCCATTGCAGGTGCGTGAGCTGGAAGGGGAGGTTGATTCTGAGCAGAAGCGCAGCGCTGAAGCCGTCAAGGGTGTGCGCAAATACGAGAGGAGGGTGAAGGAGCTGACCTACCAGGTAATCAGGAATCCTGATTGTAGTGACTTACCCTTTGGCCAGGAAATCAAAATGTTTGCTTTTTCCCTTCCAGTGGGATTTTTTTTCTGTCCTTCTTAATACATTGAAAACCTAATTAATAGAATTATCAACTGTGTCTTACTGGGCAGCAATATTCTGCAAGTTCTATTACTTTTTTTTTAGTCTGAAGAAGACCGGAAGAATGTTCTCAGACTCCAGGATCTGGTAGATAAGCTTCAGATGAAGGTGAAATCCTACAAGAGGCAAGCTGAGGAAGCTGTAAGTATTGCTTTGTGTATAATCAGCATTCCTCCTGATGGAAGTGGAATACTTTATTGGTCTTTTCTACTCTACAGTTTTTTGAGTCCTTGAGAATTGTTTTGGTGCTTTTTCTGCCACTTGGCAATAGGAAATATAGGAGTAAGAACTGCTGCTTTGGCAATGGGCCTCCTCTAGCATTCTTTTCAAATCCTCACTCCCATTCTGTTTCCTTCTTTCTTTCCTAATGTGGGTATTAGAGGCACCCACAGACAGAGATAGTCCATCTTTCCTGGGCTCTGTCACAGACAAGTATGTTAAGTTCTTATGACCATTTTGATATCCCAGTGCTCTCTTCTGTTTTGATACACTTAACACCTTGAGCAGTTTTCTACCTTGTTATATATGGAACCTGTTCTGCTTGTCCAGCTGTAGAGTTTGAATTTTATTCTGGTCAAATTTTGTCTCTGAAATTTCTTGACAAATCTTAAGCATCACCCATCTGCCACTGTGTTCTTCATAACTCCCTCTCCCCCTACAGGAGGAGCTGTCCAATGTCAACCTCTCCAAATTCCGCAAGATCCAGCACGAGCTGGAGGAAGCCGAGGAGCGGGCTGACATTGCAGAGTCGCAGGTCAACAAGCTCCGAGCCAAGAGCCGCGAGTTTCATAAAAAGGCAGAAGAGGAGGAATGAAGATCACACAAGGCTAAGAAGTGACTAGAGAGATACACAAAATGTGAACCTCTCTTTTCCTTTCTTCTGTAATTATTATTTATGTTCACTTAATAAATATTGTAGAGACCTTCATGTGCAGATGAAAAAGTGGTTATCATGTTTCATTTATTTATTCTAACATCTCATTACCATTGGAGTACACATACATAGTGTCCCATGGAAACTATAGGAATTAAAGCCCTGTTTACACAGCTAGCCAGTGATGCAGGTGGCGGCAGTAAAAGAAGATGGACTGTTAGGTACAGAATATTGCCTTTCTCAGGTATCACTAGAGGAGACAAATCAGTCACCCCTTACACTAATCTTTATAGGCTCAGAACTTGGGAAGGGTCCTATGACCAAGACTACAAAAGATGCCCATCAACAACCTCTCTAAACACATCAACAGTGTAGTACACCTCATGGTTGTAGGGCTGCACTGATGATTCTAAAGAACCTCACTGACCCAAAACCTGATAGTAAGAAGAGCTAATCATGGCAAGGACAGGAAACACTGCACTCAGCTCAACTGGGCTACTGAAACATATAGTAACAGAGAAGTAAGGTAGAAGATGAACAAAGCCAACACTAACAGACTTCTGCATTTCAATAGAAACTTTCTTAGGGGCAAAAAACCTTCTTCTCTTACCTAAGAACATTCTCTTATTCCTCTTTCCTTCACGCATCCCATCCCACTCCATTCACAACATAAGCCAAGTCCATCACAAGTTCACTTGCATCTATAAATACCGCAATGTGATTCCAGCCAAAGCTCAAGCAATCTCATGCAAAGACCTGTGAAACACATTCCTTTCTTCAAGCTGTCGCACTGCAGTAATGTCCAAGATATTAGATAGATTACACAGAAGCACAGCTGGAAGGTTTCCTGACTTGAGCAATCGAATGCATGTTATGAAAACATGCAGTACATTATTTCACATGTCATAGTGAATCTTTATCACCAACCATACCCTCCTCTCTCCTTTTGCCCTTCCCTTCTCATCTCCTCTTCTCCCCTCTCCAAAACCCTATACTCAAAGTGACTCTCACAGAACCTGTATGTCTGAAGGAGAAGTAAGAAAAGAATCCTGCCATTTCCAAGGAAAAGGCAGCTGCAAATATATCTCTCTCTCTATATATATATGTATGTTGGATATTATGACCTTTGTGTTTTAATGAGAATATATGATCTGAGGAAGCCTTCTATCACTCCACTGTGCTTCCTGTCACAGTTATATAATCCCTCCCATCCTTTCCTCCTTTCTTTCTTTCTTTCTTCACTCCCATTCAGTTTTCCAGAATTTGTTCAAAATCTGCCTTCTTTCTACTCTTTTCCTCATTTTGTTCCCAGTTTAATTGCCTCTCTTCCTCCCTCCCCACCATTTCTATTCACAGGCTAATTCTTTTGCCTGTTTGGTGCCAATTTCCGTATACTGGACTCTTCCAGTTTCCTAAGAATAGTTTGGTAGCCCCTAAAATAATACTTGATTATCAGCTGAACATTCAACACTTACATATTGAATGAAAATGTAAGATAAAGTACAATGTTAATTGTTTAAGGTGGGTAACTGCAGAGCACAGTTTTCAGAGTATTTGGTAAATCAATGGCTTGTATTCAATGTATCTAAGGGCTTTGTTTAAAAAAAATAAAAAGCGAAGAAGAAAAAAAAAGTGTTTTTCTTCTGTAGAGGGACCCCCTTTACTGGTAGGCAGATTTGTTTTTACCAAGCCCCAAAGAAAGAGCGAGAGATTGACTTGATGGGTATTTCTGGCATATATGACAAGCTTTAACAGCTACTTCAAGCTTGCTGTTTATTTAAAGCAAGTGCTAAGCATCTTTGGCCATCCCATTAGAATCGTCAATCCCTAACTGACCTTTGCATGTCCCTTTTGAATCTCTTTCCAATCCTCCGGCCAAATCCTAAGTGCTGTAAAAAATGTCTTCAAATGCTAAGCGTTCTTAACAAAATATGCAATTAACATTTTGGCAGTAGAAGACATCTGGAGGCAGGAAGGGACACTGCTCAGTCCATTTAAGCAATGGTAGTTCAGGATGAACCATGGCTCAGGATCTCTGGCTCCTTCAAGAGCTCCTTGAACCTCTTGGGTTATTGAGGCACCCTGTCTGTGAGCAGCACTCATTTCCCCTGTGACACTGCAGTGCTAAACGCAACCCAAATGAGAAAGTGGAGCGTCCCCCACCAGCAGGATTTGTAAGTGCAGTAACTTGGGTCCTGTTATTCCAAGGGCTCATCGCTAATACATCACACAGTATTTTGTATCAGCCACCTTTCAGAAACGAGGGAAGGAAACAAAGGTTTTCTGGTAATGCACTTATTCATTTGGCCTTGCACAAGGGAATTGTTTTGTTTTTAGTTTCTTCTTGTAGCTATCTATTAATTCCATATCCTCTACCACAAAAGCCAGGGTGGACAGGGTAGAGCCTGGAGGGAGTCCAGGAAGCAGGGGCCCCTCAGCTGAGGCTGCTGAGCACAACGGGAGGGGCTGTAAACTGGTGCCATCAGTGGCAGCAGTGATGGCCCCACACGACCTTCTCCTGTACAAAGCTGCCCATCACCAAGGGTGGCTCTCAGAGGCTGGGGCCCTTACCAGGGAAAGTCAGAAGGGAGGCAGATGAGCTATGACATGCTTTTAACCTCCCTTTCTGCGCTCTGTACAGCTCTTTTGGGGCTTTTGATAGCTCCTTTTCTCTTCTTTTTTAGCACCATTCACCCTTGCACTCTGCCATGGCTTAATGCCTCGCACCTGGATTCTGCTCCACAATCTCCACAGGCCACAGACCCCTCCAGGACCAGTCTCCATTGGGCCTGGCCTTGCAGCCAGGCTGCACTGCAGTGCAGAGAAAAGGTATGAAGGATTCAGTGACACAGAAATATTAGAAGAGAAATACAGCTCTACCTGTGCAGGTAGTATGGAAGGAGGTTGCAGTGGATTTAGTGGAGAAGGAGAGACCCTGGCTGCTACAAAATTAACAAAACTTTGCTCTCTGAGACTAGTAAAAAGGAAAAAGTAAAAGAAATAATACAGACAGAAAATGAATAGTCACTTTGCATTCTATTATATTGACTAGCAAACAGAAATGTAAATAAAAGCAAGGGAAGGCATGTTGTATTTTTTTGATGAGGATTTGTCCATTAGGGTTAAACCATAAGCTTCAGTCTTTCATCCTGCGGTCTGAACTTAGTCCAAGTGTGAAGTTGACCTCTCGAGTTTCCTCCCCACCCCCAGGATTATTATGCCAGCACAGACACAGTCAGCTGAGAGAAGAGGAGGAAGGAATTTCCTCACTTTCTTATCTGGACCTCTGAGTAGGTGACACTAAGAGGGAGTGGAGCAAAGCAGGTGGTGCTGAGGGGTGACGGGCAGTAAGTTACACAGGAAAGAAACCAAATCCAGGTCTTTTCTGCACGGGTGCCAAAGTGTTTCTCAGTGAACTGGAGGGCCCCTCTGGCCCCCTCTCCCTTCTCCTTCCTGTGCTGCTGCAGAATCTGTGTAGACCCTCTATAATCTCCATGGTGGACATCCCAGGGATCAGCACAGGAGAAATGGCCTTCTCATATGAGCAGGGGTTGCATCTCTTTTGCAGACCAGCATAGGACAAGACTGCTGCTTTCCTCTGGAAAGTATTTGGATTCACTTTTCCCCCTGTGTCAGCATCTAGCACACCTGCCCTGCATGAAGTAGTTCTGAACCACTTGCTTAGATCAGGGCAGAAGCTCTCTTGTGCTCAGTTGCATATGTGTCTAACTTTAGTACAACAGCTCTATGGCTCTGTCATACTGTCCTTAAACCCCTCAGCCCCTAACACAACAGAGGCGGCTTCTTATGCCTTTCTTCTGGGATCTAGCTCTGTGACTTCAGTCTTACGGGCTTCTGTCTCCAATGTCGGACTTGTTTTTCTTCCTTTCCTTGGTCTTTTTGTCCATGGTGTCCTGCTGATAGCCCTCAGAATCACAACGCTATTTATTTTTGTCTCCTTCATCTTAGTATCCTATCTTATCAGTACCTATAGATTCACCCAGCTCACTTCTCTTGGTTTATCCTCAATCCCTTTTGTGGCTTTGTCATTCAAATCATCCCTTGATTTTCATGCCTGCAATTTCTGTTCCAGTTCGGATGTTTCTGGTGCGGCAATTCCCTTCCTCTGATAATGATCCTGCTTGTCAGTGGGATCCAAAATGCTTTTCTACATTGCAGATTCAGAGCATTTGCAGCCACACAGTAGCTTCCTCCTTCACCTCTCCATTCCTCCATGTTCCGTGAGACAATACACTGGACTCTCCTCAATTCCTCTACTCGAGTCAGCATCCTAGTGCCCATGAAGCCCCTTTCATCACAAATTCCTGCTTTCCCCCTTTCCCATCTTCTCTTGTCAGATTATTTATAGGAGATTGATTCATAGACCTGTTATGTCTAATTATATCCATTCACTTCTAATATGAATGGGAATTCTGCTAGGAGCTGAGATTGCTAAAAACATTTTGACCGAAGAAAGAGGAGGCGGTGGCTGCTACGTATGCAGACCAGACCCTATAAAAGTCTCCTGGGATCAGTGTGTCTTGTCCTTCCTCCGAAATCTCTAAGGTAAGAGTGTTCGAGGCTCTAGGCTGGGGAGGTGGGGAATGGAGGGCAACTGGCCCTGCATTCCTCAAGCACCACTGCATTCATTCCATGTGGGACTGCCGGGGTCAGCTGGGAATCTCAATCTGCTTTCAAGGCATCTATGTTTTCAGTCTTTTTTTTTTCTCCTGTGGAATTCTGTGCAGCAGTAAAAAGGAAGTTCATAACTCTCTTTTACAGTACTGAGCAGGTTCCAGTCTGCAAGCTGTTCTTCTGGACTCACAAAAGGTAAGATCCTGATTAATTCATTCTTTAGGGACAAAGAGAGATGCTCCATGGTAGGATTGCTACACAGGTGTGCTGGCAATCTCTGTACCCCCATATTCATATCCACTGTATAAAAACAGTACAATACTTGGATTGGATTGACGATAGCTTCTCAAAGACTCTGGTCTTATAAGTATTGACTACTAAATTTTACCCAGGAAACCCAAAGAGATTGCCTACAT